TGGTTGGGAATCGTGATGATTAGTTTTTGGTAAAGATCGGCCGGGCCGTTTTCTTGTAATAAAGTGTTAAAAAAGATTTTTTTCGACGATTTTTATGAATATTTTTTACTGTAGAGACCATAGTCTTATAGATCATACTAAAATATTACGTTTCACACTTTGATTTAAATTAATTATACACTTGTTTATAATTACCATTAATTTTAAGTAATGAAATCTAATTTGACAATGCAACATTAGAGTAAAATGTAGAGAATTTAGTTATCTTTAAATGTATCTAATATTGTTTTAAGATAACTTAGATAATTTTAGAGTTATCTCAAAAAGTGCAGAAAAATGTATCACCAAATTTTGATGCAGTTATAATAATATTTGTAATTAAATTCGGTCCTACGACAAGTCGTTTAATTTTAAAAATTCGTCAAAGTTTGCAAAAATTAGTATCGTTTGTTTGGCGTTTGTCAAAATTAGAAATTTCATCGACGTTTTTTCAAAAACGCCTGAACCGATTTTAAAAATTTAAAAGCCATTCGATGTATTTCGGTGTAGATTATCTGTTCTCAGTTTTGTGCGACGATCGGCTGAGCCGTTTCTTTGTAAATAGCATAAAACTGAAACAAAATTATTCACGTTTTGGCTCTTAATTCTTTTTCTGTTGCAGAAAAAAATTGAGGATTTTTACGAAACTTTTTGTTTTGGCGATAAATATCATAGTCTTGTAGAACATACTAAAATGTTACGGCCCTACGACAAATAGTTTATTGTTAGAAATTCCTCAAAATTTGTGCCAAAAGTTGCTTTTGTGATAAAATAAATCAAACATTATCAATTCACTGAAATTTATAATAATATTATCAAATTTAGGGCATACAAGCACACGTGCAATGTAATTCATATAATTACAATTAATTCAAATGTTTTTGAGAAAATTCTATTCAAAATCGTTGACTAATTCTGTTCGTTAACAGTTGACTAATTTTATCTAAATATCTAAACCTCAATTTTGATTGATTAAGTTGACAATTCTTACACATTTCGGAAAGTTCATGCAACATGCCTTTAGGCTAAATTCCACTTTCTACTAGTTAAAATACGCCTGAGCGCGCTGCAACTAGACATACATGTTCATAGAGTATACTGCCAGGAAAGAAACTTATACTCTATGTTACTGGCCCAAAAATTTGTCAAAATTAAATAAATTTTTTAGCAAATAAGTATTTATATTAAAATTAATCATAAGGATAAAATGTATCTTTTATTTTAGGTTACTTCAGTAGAAGACACGCCTCCACCGATTATCCAAATTGGCCCTTCTAACCAAACTTTGCCAAAGGGCAGTATGGCAACCTTGGTTTGCCAGGCTACAGGTTCACCTGCGCCTAAAATCAGGTGGACCAAGGACAATGGTGTACCTTTGAAGGATAACAAAGCTTCTAGGATTCATATTTCTGGTTCAGGAACCCTAAAAATTGACGGTAAGTGATAAAATAACTCTATCTAATTAATTTATCAAATATTTCTGATATCGCTGCTGCATGATACAAATTCATTCTTTTGGATAAAGAGTCCAGTGAAATGTTTTTTCTATATCTTTTACCAAGTTTATTTTCTGAATAGAAGAGTGTCTTAATTTTATCTTAGTGATTGAGTGATTGCCAACACAGCTAAATCTTGATTGATGGCCAGGATGTTTGTCAAAACGTCTGTGTGCCTGTTTTCTTAGAAAGACGCTGAATTAAAGGAGTTTATCCCGGACAAAAGATGTCGTGATGTATTAGTAGATTAGGAAAGAATTTAGCGAGACTAAATATATATAGTAATGTGGGAGTTGGTTACATTTTTGCAAACTAGAAAAAAAAAATTTTAATTTGGTGATTTAATTTCCTCAATTTTCACATTGTCTTTATATTTTTTTCTTTGATGAAGTCAAAAACAAGTGTAATTTTTTTCACAATTTTCTGCTGTAATTTAATTTATTACTTTTCTTGAATCATTTTAAATTTTTCAGAAATATCCAAATTTTACAAATAATTTTACTTAGAGTCCATGTCTCTGATCTGTACAGAGTTATACTAAAATATAGCATTTTATTATTTTCTTGATTTTGCTCGTCAGTTAAGTTCTATTTATTACAATCTATGTTTACCACAAAAATTTGTCAATTATTTTTCCAAGTTTAGATCAAGTTTACACATCAGTAGAGTCCTTTTATAATTAGAGTCCAAGTTTCTAATCCGTACAGAACAAACGCGACATATTTTCGGAAAATCAAGAATGTCTACGTGTTTTTTGCTCGTCAGTTGAGTTCTTTTTCTTTAGTGTAACAATTTAACATTATTTTTGTAAATTGATATTCAGTTTGCTCTTTAGTAGACTTCTGTTTTTTTTTAGAATTTGTCGATTATTAATTTGTTATTTTATATTTAGGACTGAATTACTTACTCGTCAGTAGAGTTTTTATTTATTATATTTGTCAGTAGAATCTTCTTTTTATTTTCTGGGTCAATATTAATTTTGCTCGTCAGTAGAGTCCCTTTTTTAATTTTTAAGAACTATATTTAATTTGCTCGTCAGTAGAGTCCCTTTTTTAATCTTCCAGAAACATATTTAATTTGCTCGTTAGTAGAGTCCTTTTTTTATCTTCAAGACATAAATTTAATTTGCTCGTCAGTAGAGTCCTTTTTTGATCTTCAAGACATAAATTTAATTTGCTCGTCAGTAGAGTTCTTTTTCAATTCTACAGAATTATATTCAATTTGCTCATCAGAAGAGTCCTTTTTTAATAATCAAGAATTATTGCTCGTCAGTAGAGTCCCTTATTGATCCCCAAGAATTATACTTAATTTGCTCGTCAGTAGAGTTCCTTTTTTAATAATCGAGAATTATATTTAAATTGCTCGTCAGAAGAGTCCTTTTTAATAATCAAGAATTTTTATGTAATTTGCTCGTCAATAGAGTCCCTTTTTCAATCTTCATTGATTCTATTTAATTTGCTCGTCAGTAGAGTCCCTTTTTTAAGCTTCAAGACATAAATTTAATTTGCTCGTCAGTAGAGTCCTTTGTTGATCTTCAAAAAATAAATTTAGTTTGCTCGTCAGTAGAGTCCCTTTTAAATATTTAAGGACTATATTTAATTTACTTGTCAGTATAGTCCTTTTTTAATCTTCAAGAATGCCATTTTATTTGCTTGTCAGTAGAGTTCTTTTTTAATTCTCAAAAATCGCAATCAATTTGCTCGTCAGTAGAGTCCCTTTTTCAATCCACAAGAATTATATTTAGTTTGCTCGTCAGTAGAGTTCTTCTTTATTTTCTGGATATATATTAGTTCTGCTCGTCAGTAGAATCCTTTTTACTCTTTATTGAATTTAATTTGCTCATCAGAGCAAATTTTTTATCGGAGCAAGAAAGGGACTCTACTGATAAGCAAAATAAAATTCGTAAAAGGACTTCACTGACGAGTTTATTTAAAAATCCATTATTGATTTGGAACAAATAAAAATTTCCAACGAAGATAATTATTCTTTAGTATTAATCCAGAAGATAAAAGGACTCTACTGACGAGCTAATCAGAATTGGTCATATATATATATATATATATATATATATATATATATATACATCTTATATATATATATATATACATCTTATATATAAAATTCTTCTGTACGGGTGTACGATTTGATACTTCTCCTAAACGCTTATTCGGACTTGGATAAATCTTTTTAGAGTTTGTCAAAGAAAATTTTTAAAATTTAATGAACGATAAAACTCTAGTAATATTGTAAAAATAAATGGCAAAAATTACAAAAAAACACTTATCATTTTTTGACATTGGAAACGTTTGAACTGTCATCTGCTAGAAATGTCAATTCACTTGAAATTCGAATTTAGCTGAAATTATGAGCCTAGACAATATTAGAAAATAATGTACAAGAAAAATGTAATGTCTACATTATTATTGCCGAAAAGCAGCTAAGATGTGCCAGAAATTGAAATAATATAAGATACAGTATATGCTTGGCAGATGACATTATGTAATTCAGTTTAATAAATAACGCAACAAGTCCAATATTGCATATACATTATTTTTTTAAACTTAAGCATGCCGCCTTTTGCTTTACTTTACTGAATTATTTAATAATACTGACAAATATTTCTACTTATTAAAAAAAATGATTAGTATTTTGTTTCATTTGTCAAAAATTCATTTGTTTGGCATTGGATATGATGGAATATTTATCAAGTTGATCTTAGATTGAATAGTGCACATGTGAACTAGATTTTACAAATTAATTCACCTAAGATTTGAACATAAACAAGAATGTTTATTAAATTATTAGTAAGAAGAATGTACTTTAGAAATTATAATTACCAAGAAGCAACTATTATGAAAATTCTAGGCTAAATTATTGAAGCAATTATGTCGTGTGGTAAAATCAAGTATGATATTGTTCTTTTACCGCTGACACTATATTAATTTTTATCAGAATTTTTTATAATGCTTATGCTAAGACCTTAAAAGAATCACAAAGACAGGACATCAAATAGGATATTAAAAAGTACAGGATAGGATATTGAAAAATTTGGCACTTTCGAATTGTAGACGTGGGTACAGGACAACGCTTGTCGGGTCATCTAGTATATATATATATATATATATATATATATATATAATTTTAAATACAATCAATATCTACTATATACTAATATCATCTCAGCGAACATACCAAATCAATCTTGACAGGAAAAATAAAAATTATCATATTCAATTTTGCAGACGCCGTAAAATATATAAAATATTTCGCGCTAAAATAAACCGCGAACGTAAATGTAGAAGATATACATTTTTCAGGAACAGAAAAACATATATATCCTGGAAAATCCCTCAGGACTTGTATGAAATAGAGGGATATATACATGTATATATATAAATATATATATATATATATATATATACACATATCCTTTTCCATATTTTTCCGCTCAATCGAACGCATAATTTCCCTTAAGTGGCGTAGAAATTTTTCGATGTTCGATGCAATTTCCCTAGTATTGTCATAAAATCAGCCAATCACCCTTCGATTCATTTCAAATATTCATGTATTGTGTGAAAGGGAAAAAAGTGACACGTGTGCGACTACCCTTACTAATTCATGTGCGAATTTGTCGCTTTTATAATAATTTTACCCTCGGAAATCCATTCACCGGATCAATGACACAGTCAAGTGGTTATTTGTGAAATTGTGTCAAATCATGTAGAAAACGAAAAATGATGTATATATATATATATATATATATATATGTATATATGATAAGGTTTTTCAGCCACAAGTCGAAAAAGTAGAAACAGAATAAAAATATAAATCTTCTTTAATACGTTTTGAGCTATTGTGCTAGATAATCATTCAGCTAAAATACAAACAGAGTAATAAAATAAAGTAACAAAATAAAATAAAACAGAATTAAAATTATACGTACCAAACCAGTTTGAAATTATTTTATATAAGATTTGACAATTAAAACATCAATATTTTGTTCTAAAAACAAAACATATGTATATATATATAGAATTTTGAAAAATTAAATCGAGTAATCGAAATATTTCGAATTCTGAAAGAGAAGATAAAAGAAAATAAAAGAAAATATCAAGTGGTAAAAATTGTTGAAATATTAAAAAAATCAGACTCACAAACATTAATTAAATTATGATAGCTGTCAAAAGGCAAAGAAGAACTTCTCTTAATAACACATTGTGAATTTAAAAAAATGGAAACAGATTCAGCAAACCTTCTTAGGTCAACATTTTGTTCAATATATAAAATAACGGGATTATTTAAATCAAAGGTGTGTTTAAAATTTTGCATTTGTTCGGATAACATTGTTTTGTTTTGATTTTTATTTTTTGAATTATATTTATATTGAAGCATTCTCTTAGATATATATTGTGAACTCTCCCCAATATAGAATTTTTCACATATCATTATTCACCTTGTAAACGGAGTCAACAATTCTATTATGTGGTGTTTTTCATTTTTAAGAAATATACAAAGAATTTAGAGTATTTCCAAATTTGGAAACTAAAAGAAAACCTTCTTCAGAAAACATCTTTTTAAAAAAATAAGTAAAACTGCCTAAAAATGATAAAGAAACAATACCTTTATATTTATTTAAAAAAGATGAAGAATTTATTAAACTAGTATCAACAGGTAACGAAATGTTATTATTATTAATGTTATTTTTATTATTATTTAATTATTGCATACGGTTTTTTATAATATTTTTCTAAATTTTTATTCCAAAAGATATAATTACGACTTGTGGCTGAAAAACCTTATCATATTATGTTTCAAAGTTGAAATAAACAATATCAAGATATATATATATATATATATATAGTTATTTATTTTTACACTGGTAACACTAATTGTTTCGTTGCGTTGGCAGCTGAAGTTAGTTACATGTGCAATCGAAGGGTACAAATTTTTACTTTTTTTTTTCTAAATATCTCAAAGACTATAAACATTAGGAAAAAATAGTTCGAGAACAAAATATAGCTTATAAAATTCTAAATCCAACCTATTACTACATTTTTCTCCTACATTATTCGCTTCCGTTATAAACAATTTCAAACTCCCTTTCTATTAAATTCCTCTTATTTCTGCTATGATAACACTAAATGTATTAAAATTTATGGATTTTTACATTAATAAAACTAATTGTATTAAATTAAAAAGTAAAATTTATGTATTTTTATATTGTTGATACTGATTAAATTATAAGTTATTTATTTATACACTGGTAACACTAATTATTCCGCTGCGTTGGCAGCTGAAGTTAGTTACATATGGAATTTAAGGGTACAAACTTTTATGTTTTTTTGAAATATCTTAAAATCTATAAGCATTAGAAAAATATAGTTTGAGAACAAAATATAGCTTATAAAATTCTGTATCCAACCCATTACATTATTTTGCCCACGCATCCTTCGTTTTTTATTTACACAATTTCAAAACTCCTTTCCTATTGAACTCTTCTTATTTCTACAATGATAACACACGAATTGTATTAAAATTAATGGATTTTCATATTGGTAAAACTATTTGTGTTTAATCGAAACTTAAAACTTGTGTAAATTTATATAGTCAATACTGATTTAATTGAAAGTTTCGCAAGTGAAGTTAGTTGCGTATGAAATGACCTCGGATTTCAAGGGTACAAATTCTGACTTTTTTTTAATTATCTCAAAAATTATAAACACTAGAAAAATAAAGTTCGAGAACAAAATATAGCTTATAAAATTTTGAATCTAACCCACTACTACATTTTTCTCTCAGTTCATCCTCCTTTTCACTTATACACAATTTCAAACTCTGTTAATAATATTGTCACCACTCTTTGATAGTTATCATGTGTCAGCGTCGAGTTTCTTAAATTACGATGAAATTAAAGAGTACAAAATTTTACTTTCTCAAAATTATCTCAAAAGCTATGAGCACTAGCCAAAAATAGTCTGAGAACAAAATATTGTTTATTAAATTCTAAATCTAACCTATTACTACATTTTTCTTTCATGTTATCCTTTTCCCTTGTGCACAATTTCAAACTATAAACTAATAATGTTCCTCCCTTTACCAGAGCTAATGTGTTTCGAGGCGTTGAGTTTCCTAAGTGGAAAATAAATTGCGAAGAAAAATGAGCAAAAAACCTGCGAACTCTGATAGAAAATTACGCTTTTTCTATTGGTCGTTAAGAAATCATCAATTTCCTGCTTTTTGCATCGGGAACGAACTAGTAATTAAACTCTAGTTGCAAAGAGAAAGATTTGTTTCGGTTTGAAATAAATAGAAACGTAGTAAAAGAAACAAATTTGAGTTTGAAATTGTGGGAAAAAGAATGGTGTGTAGGTAAAGTAATGTAATGGGTTGTATTCAGAATTTTGTAAGCTATATTTTGTTCTAAAACTATTTTTTTCTAGTGCTTATAGTTTTTGAGATAATTAAGAAAAAGTAAGAAGTACACTTCAATTTCATACGTAACTAACTTCAGCTGCCAACGCAACGTAACAATTGGTGTTGCCAGAGTATAAATAAATTACTAATAATTAAATCAGTATTTAGAATATAGAAATACGTAAATTACAATTCTTAATTTAATACAATTAGTTTTACTAATGTAGAAATCCATAAATTTTAATACAATTAATATTATTATTGTAGAAATAAGAGGAGTTCAATAGGAACGGTGTTTGAAATTGTGTAAATAAAAAACGAAGCATGTGGGGGCAAAATTATGTAATAGATTTGATTGGAAATTGTATAATCTATTTTTTTGTCTCAAACCATTTTTTTCTAGTGTTCATACTTTTTGAGATAATTCACAAAAAATAAAAATTGGTACCCTTCAAAGCCGAAGGCATTTCATGTGTAACTAACTTCACTTGCCAACGCAACGGAACAATTAGTGTTGCCTGCGTAGAAATATACATAACCTCTAATGTAAAAATACTAATATTAAGCTTTTAGTAAAATCCGGGTTACCAAAACAGTTTGTTGAAGTCTAAACACAATTTTTCCTACTCACTTATATATATGGTCCGCCAAATAACTTTTTTTTTTACCAACTACTGAATATTTTCTAAAATTTCTTTCTCTATTTGAAAGTACAATCCTTTCAGTTAATAATGAAATTAATTCAGCTAATAGTTTAATTAAAAATGGAAAAAAAAGCCTCGCCATAAAATGAAAATGAAAAATGTTAGATTAGCATACCCTATATAAAGATATCTTTGGGCAGTTTTTTGTGGCACTATAAGTCCAAGTTTGCTTTTCATTACCATATCAATTCAATAATTTGTTCGTTACCATACAAAATCATATAATAGGTTAGAATCAGAATTTTATAGGCTATATTTTCGTCTCAAACTATTTTTTTCTAGTGTTTATAGTTTTTGAGATAATTTAAAAAATGTAAAAATTTGAACCCTTCGAACCCGAAGGCATTTCATGTGTAACTAACTTCAGCTGCCAACGCAACGAAACAATAAGTGTTGCCTGTGCAGAAATTTATTACTTTTAGGGCAAAAATACTAATGAATAATATGACTAAAAATTGTACTTTACCAATGCAGGTTGTTGGTGTAAAAACATAATTTTTTCTGCTCATTTATATATAAAGATCTTCTTTGGCAGTTTTTTTTTTGCACTATAAGTCCAAACCAGTTTCCTGGTCCATCAATATCATCAATATGAGCAATTTTTTTCATTTTTTAGATCTACAAGTCACTGATTCAGGACACTACACTTGCACAGCCTATTCAGAAAGTGGAGAGACTTCCTGGTCATCATCTTTGATGGTAAGTTGACCGATTACGTAACACTATCAACCAAACCAGGCTTTTCTGGTGGCATTTTAGGCTAATCTTGGTGTCTTTTTCCAGGTCGAAAAGAACCCTTCATCTCATTCCACGACCTTACACCGATCACCAGATCCTAGTACATTTCCAACTTCGCCAGGAACCCCTAGAGTTCTAAATTTGACTGAATCGAGTGCAACCCTGGCCTGGGTTCGAGGACCAGAAAGGCATAATGCCAGCCCACTATTAGGGTAAGTAGATAAAACATACATTCATTCCTGATTAGATGCATATATCAATAATAGAACCAAGAACTAATATTCTATCACTATATTTAACATAAGGTAGTCGAGTAATTTCAATTAGGCCTTTTTATTGTATTCTAATCAAAGCACATTTGCGACGCCAATTAGTTGTAAACATCTGAAACATTTTATAAGATTGTACAAAGAATTTATAAATTAACAACAATTAATATATAACTATTCACATTTTTATTACAAATTTTGAGGATATGTTAAGAAACTATATTTCAAAATTACTATTTTTTATTATTTGTTCATGATACGTATGATTGCTGACTTATAGAAGATAAACACCTCAAATACTCTATTTAAATACGTATAAACAAATTTATATAAATACCTAAGTATATAAATGATTACATTCCAATTGCCAAGAAATAAATTTCTTCATCGTCCATCTGGCATCGCTTGCTATTATTAAAAATTAATTTATTTGCCACTTAAATAATATAATAAATAATTTATATTATTTACGTAATAATTTTCCAAAAGTGGTGATTTAAAAATGCATATTAATATATTTGTATCAAAACAGAAACACCGATTAACAGTTGTCAATTGAAAGTAAATGTCATGGATAAAATCATTGATAGAATCATAGATTGAATAAACTAAATGGATATTTTATAAATAATTAATTTTGAATTAGAATGAAAAACGGGATAAAATGTATTACATATGTTTCTCCTGGCTCTAAACTACCTCCTTGTCAATTTTCATCTAAATCGGTTCAGCCGTTCGTGAGTTATAAGTGTTGTAACTAACACGATCTATATATATATAAATCTCGTGTCACGATGTTGGTTCGCGATGGACGCCCAAACTACTGAACCGATTTTAAATTTTATTGGCTTATCGTGTGCATATATATCCAACTTAGGTTATAGGAAATTTTGAAAAGTAAATTTGAAATATAAATGTATAATTTTTATAAATTTCTAAAAATTTTGACAGAAAATAGCCAAAAAAACAACACTAAAATGACAAATGTCAAAATTTAAGGAAATTTCGATATATAATTTTTGAAAACAAAATTTGACATTTCAAAAAATTAAATTCAAAAACATGGACATATATAGAAATATCCAACATTTAAATCCAAATTTGATGAAATGCTACATTCAAAATCACTGTTTATAGTTTTAAATCTAATTAAAAATCAATGCTTAAAAATTTGAATAAATGTTGACATGTAAAAAAATTAAATGTCATTTGTCAGTATTTATGAAAATAATTATATAAATAGATTTACGATTTAGATTTAATTGATTAGCTTACAAAATTATTTCGGAAAACGAAACTTCATCAAAACATTATAGATCAGAGATCACAATAAAAAAGCGGCACATTGAATTTAAAATTGATCATAAACAAAATTTTGACATTTCACAAAAAAATGTTTAACGACTTACTTCAATAAAGAAGCAAATAAATTAATTATTCCAAGTTATGTTATAGGCAATATTGCCAAGCAAATTATAGATACAAAACATTATTGTAAAATAAATATTATCATATTATATTAATTTTGGACCAAGAAGGAAATATTTGACATTTATAAATTTAGTGAATATTGGATATATGAAATTAACATTCACTATTTTTCAATTAAATGCAAATGTAAAAAATCAAATATTTATATAAAAAATTGTATATTTAGATAAAGATACTGCGTTGATTTAGACTAAAATTTAATTCATTCTTTAATTAAAAAAAAATTGACATAAACACAATTAAAATAAACAAAACACTATGATGTGTTGGAATTATTTATCGGAGTGTAAAGAAATTTATGTAATTAAAATATAATATTTTGATTGTCATCGCAAATGCTAATCTTACAGGAAATTGTAACCTCTTAAATGGAATAGTACAATCTGAGGGTATCATTGGAATCTGACAAAAACAAACTAGACAAACTAAATATTATATCATATTATATTAAATTTTGACCGAAAAGAAAATATTTTGGCAGTTATAATCAAATTGAAATAAAATGCAAATGTCAAAAATCAGATCTTTATATAAAAAATACACAATATTCCTGTGTTGATTTAGCCAAACTTATGAATTTAACAATTATATATATATTTTTATTGGACTTAAAATAATTATTAATTTATTAACAAATAAATAATATTTGCAGGAAAATTTTATTGACACGACACGACAAAAGTATAATAAACAAAAAACTATGATGCGAGTGAATTGATTTTTGAAGTATGAAATGTCAAATAATTTTGAAAATTATAACAAGTTTTTAACTATTTGTCAAGGAATCAGAGTTCAAATCTATTAAATATTTGATTTTTGGCACTTTTATTAATTTTTTTATCAATTTAGGCATATTTTTTATGGCAAAACAACGTTTGCCGGGTTATATATATATATATAGATTATAATATATAGATTATATATATATATATATATATATATATCTATATATATATATATAATATATATATATATATATATATATAGATTATTGATTATTTTTAATTACTCGAATTTTGAATTGCGGTACGGGAAGTTCCAGCAATTTGCCTTAAGGCACGATGCCCTAATTGCCTTAAGACAGAATTCTTACTGTTAGTTTCTTTCAGATATTCTGTGGAATACTTCAGTGCCGATTTGCAAACTGGTTGGGTAATCGCAGCCAGTAGAATTGCTGGCGAAAGTATAACAGTAAGTACTTTGTCTTCCAAAAAAGCACCAATTGTCAACAATTCTAATACCAATTAATCTTTATCTAATTTATTATACTAATATTCTAATAATAAACATTAATCTAATTTCTAATTTTTCTTAGATCAACGATCTAAAACCAGGAACATCCTACGTTTTCCTGGTACGTGCAGAAAACTCTCAAGGAATGTCCGTACCAAGTGGCTTGTCCAATGTCATAAGAACACCAGACAGGAAAAAGGGCTCTTTAGGGTCCCTTGGCGAAAATTTAGCCCAAAAGGACGCCATGACCCAACAGGAACTAGAAAATGCCAGAATGGTTCTAAGTGGCAAGGTTGTAGATTTAAGGGATGCCCAGCCAACAAGCCCTACAAGTGTAAGGGTTGTTTGGCAGTTGCAAGTCAGCCATAGCGAAAAATACTTAGAGGTAAGTAATAGATGATAAAAATTATTTGGGAGCACACTAATGTGTTTTGGAAGTAAAACTTCTTTAGGCGCGACTAGGGAGTAAAGATGTGTGAATGCAACGGAATGCGTTACGCTCGAGTGGTTCGTCATTCGCTCTCGATGATATCATTTCTATACGGGTCGAGGTAAATAATGGATAGTGGTAAAATTATTTGGGAGCACAGTAATATGTTTTTGAAGTAAAACTTTTTTAGACGCGACTAGGGAGTGAATCTGTGAGAATGCAACGAAGTGCGTTACGCCCGAACTGTACGTCATTTGCTCTCGATGATATCATTTCTATACGGGTCGAGGTAAATAATGGATAGTGGTAAAATTATTTGGGAGCACAGTAATATGTTTTTGAAGTAAAACTTTTTTAGACGCGACTAGGGAGTGAATCTGTGAAAATGCAATGGAATGCGTTACGCCCGAACTGTACGTCATTCGCTCTCGATGATATCATTTCTATACGGGTCGAGGTAAATAATGGATAGTGGTGAAATTATTTGGGAGCACACCAACATGTTTTTGAAGTAAAACTTCTTTAAGCGCGACTAGGGTGTAAATCCGTACCAATGCAACGGAATGCGTTACGCCCGAACTGTACGTCATTCGCTCTCGATGATATCATTTCTATACGGGTCGAGGTAAATAATGGATAGTGGTGAAATTTTTTGGGAGCACACTAACATGTTTTTGAAGTAAAACTTCTTTAGGCGCGACTAGGGAGTAAATCTGTGTGAATGCAACGGAATGCGTTACGCTCGAGTGGTTCGTCAATAGCTCTCGATGATATCATTTCTATACGGGTCGATTATTATTAGTCGTCGTGTATGTGAATAGAGATCAGTCGTTGTATGCAACGAAAGTGCCCGAACTGTACGTCATTTGCTCTCGATGATATCATTTCTATACGGGTCGATTGTGATTGGTCGTCGTGTATGTGAATAGAGATCTGTCGTTGTATGCGTAACGACATCAACGTTATATGTTTACAGATATGAACAAGAAAATCGGCATAAATAAATAAACATTTCAAAGTCACATCGTAGTACAAATCTTGATTTAATGAAAAATGCCTGAATCAGAAGAATATTTTACCCTGTTCCTTGAAAATAATAAATTATTTTATTAATAAACATTTGTGCCGTGTACAAAACCTAAGTTTATTGATTAGAAATTATTTCTACATTAAAATAGATAATGTTTTTTTAGACAAGACAGATTCTAAAGCTGTTCAAAGAATTATCAATCGACAGAAAAAATAAAAGGACTCTACTGACGAGCAAACATAATTTCAATCCAGAACATAAAAATTGACTCTACTGACAAGCAAACTTTAATTACAATCGAGTTGATAAAAAGGGACTCTACTGATGACTAAATTTAAAATTAGTAAATATAAAAACTAAAAAAGATCTCCACTAACTAGTATAAATATAAAAGATATAGAAAGGACTCTACTGACGAGGAAACTTTAGTTTTGATCTAAAAGATTAAAAAGGACTTTACTGACGAGCAAATAAAAAATCGAATAGTTAAAATATGATCATAAACTTTACCTTAAAGTTAAAAAGGGATTCTACTGACAAGTCAACAAAGTTTTGATCGATAAGAAAATACGAAACGGACTCTACTGACGATCAAATTTGAAACTAGCAAATATAAAAAGGACTCTACTGACAGGCAAACTAAAAGTTGACGAAAAAGATCACAAGCAAACTTTAATTTCAACCTAGAAGAAGAAAAAGGACTCTACTAGTAAACAAATTTAATTTAGATACTAAAAGGGACTGTACTGATAAGCAAAAATATTAACGAAAAATATTTTGTAAAAGGGACTCTACTGACAAGCAAATTTTAATTTCAATCTAGAGGAAAAGAAAAGGACTCTACTGACGAGCAAAATATGAATAAGAAATGACTCTAAAAAAGAACTCTACTGACGAGCAAACACAATTTTGAAAAAACAATTTTGTCAAACTAAAAATTGACAAAAAAGACAAAAGGGACTCTACTGACAAGTGATCAAACAACTCAAAAACAGTCAAAAGTCAAAAAACAACTCAAAAGTCAAAACAGGGATTCTACTAACGAGCAAAATTATTAATATTGAAAAAGAATCTTAAACTTATTAATATTTAATTATTTGAAAAGCGGATTTTACTGACGAGCAAAGTTATAAAAAAGGACTCTACCGACGTGCAAATTGAATATCGTCTGGAAAATAGTAAAAAAAAATACATGTAGTCAATAAATGTATGTTAATTTTAATTACATGAAGTTTTTCAAACACAATCATTACTCTAATCTAGGTTCGTTTCTAAATGAACTAATTAGCTAATTACAATGACAAACCGATCATGTCGTATTCGAGGTATGACTTTAATTACATTATTGTTTTTAAATATTATACATATTTTAATGCTATTATAAATATATAATTTATAATTTATCATTATATAAATGTGTATAATGGTCGTTGACACTAATAAATGTGTGCATCACGAGAGTGAATGAAAAATAGGACTCTACTGACGAGCAAACTAAAATAAAGACAAAACAGAAAAAAAGTCTACCGTCGAGCTAACTGGAAAAAAAACTAAATTATAAAAAGGACTCTACTGATGAGCAAACTAATATGAAAGACATGAAATAGAAAAAGAGGACTCTACTGACGAACAACTTAAAATATGAAAAAAGGACTCTACTGACGAGCAAACTGATATAAAGACAAAATAGAAAAAAGAGTCTAACGTCGAGCTAACTGAAAAAAAAACTAAATTATAAAAAGGACTCTACTGATGAGCAAACTAATATGAAAGTCATGAAATAGAAAAAGAGGACTCTACTGACGAACAACTTAAAATATGAAAAAAGGACTCTACTGACGAGCAAATTGATATAAAGACAAAATAGAAAAAAAGAGTCCACCGTCGAGCTAACTAAAAAAAAACTAAATTATAAAAAGGACTCTACTGACGAGCAAACTAATATGAAAGACGTGAAATAGAAAAAAAGGACTCTACTGACGAACAACTTAAAATATGAAAAGAGGACTCTACTGACGAGCAAACTAAAAAGTAAAACAAAATAATAGAAAAATGGAAAAAATAACACGAAATATTAAAAAAGACTAGCTAAAAACATGAGGAATTTTTATTGTACAATTTGAGTAGCATCTTAAAAAATGAAAAAGGGACTCTACTGACGAGTAAACTACCATATTACTAATAAACATTATTCAAAATTGTTATATCATGTATTTATTTTTACTTAAAGGTCATCTTGTACAGTAGCAAATCAGTTTTACTGAACCTTACGCTCACTCTTTTTTGTTCTCAGGGAATCTATATTCGTTTTCGTGACTTAACAAGTGGTTCCCAGAAATACAACATCCTGACAGTCCCAAAAGCAACTGTTGAAACTTACATTGTTAATAATCTTAAGAAATTTACGAAGTACGAGTTTTTTGTTTCGCCTTTTTACAAAACTGTGGAAGGGCAACCTAGTAACTCCAAAATTGCGCAGACTATGGACGATGGTAAGTAGATAAAGGAGCATTGAATATATTTTTTAAAAATACTATTTTGGCTATACTGACATTTGTTGATTTTTTTCAGTACCTTCTGCTCCACCAGACAATATTCAAACAGAAATGCTAAATTTGACAGCAGCTTTGATTAGATGGTCACCACCACCAGCCCAACATCATAATGGAATTTTATTAGGATACAAAATACAGGTATATAAAATTTGGTCAACTTTTAATTGACTCGATAATTAACTTCCCGAAGGAGAAGTTTGTGTTTTTCATCAGAAAATACGATTCGCTAATTTTATGTTTTCTCCTGGACGTTTCAAGCCATTCTGAATCGAATGAGACCGAATTTGGAAAAATAATGTGTGTGTGTGTGTGTATGTGTGTGTATGTGTGTGAACAGATTTTTTGCCGTAAATCGACGTTTTCTCAAAAATGGCTGGACCGGTTTCAAAAATTTAAAAGCCATTCGATGTATCTCGATGAGAGTAGCGTTTCAGAGTTTTGTGTGACAATCGGCCGAGTCGTTTCTTTGTAAATAGCAGAAAAGTGAAAAATTTTTCGTCCACGTTTAGCCCGCAGTTCTGAATCGATCTTGAAAATTCGAAAACCGTTCGAAAAATATTGATTGGGAATCGACCTGATTAGTTTCTGGTAGAGATCGGCCGGACCGTTTTCTTGTAATAAAGTTTTTAGAAAAAAAAAATTCGACGATTTTTATGATTATTTTTTTGACGGTAGATACCATAATCTTCTAGATTATACTAAAATATTACGGCTCTACGATAACTGGTTCAGCTTTAAAAATTCGTCAAAGTTTGCAAAAATTGGTATCGTTTTTTTTGGCATTTGTCAAAATTAGACCTTTCATCGACGTTTTCTCAAAAATGCCTGAACCGATTTCAGAAATTTAAAAGCCATTTGACGTATCTCGATGAGGACCATCGTTTGTCAGTTTTGTGCGACGATCTGCAAAGCCGTTTCTTTGTAATTTGAAAAAAAGTGTTAAACTTTTCGTCCACATTTAAGCTAATACTACCGAAGCGCTTTTAAAAAATCAAAAACTGTTCGAAAGATATCAGTTGGGAATGATACTGATAAGTTTTAGGTGAAAATCTACCAAGCAGTTTTCTTGTTATTAACTTTTTTGATGATATACGAGTATATCATGGTCTTATACGACTTATTGAAATATTACGACCTTACGACAAGTAGTTTAATTTTTAAAATTCATCAAAGTTTAAGAAAATTAGTAGTTTTTTTTTGACGTCTGTTAAAATTAAATTTGGACGATTTTACTTTGTAATAACGTTAGAGTACTTGGTTTTAATGAACATACCAAGCCATTAAAGTCCTATGGAAACTGGTTCAATTATAACAATTGTTGATTTCTGAAAATTACTTACTTTTAGAAAAAACTCCGTGTCAAAGGGTTCGTTCGTTTTCAATTATGTGTAATAAATCCACTCGGAATACTTTTAATCAATCATACATTAATTTAGTTTTGATTGATTAGGTCGATTAATTACACATATCGGGAAGTTCATGTAACTTGCCTCAAGGCAAAATACCAAACCAACTAGTGATTCTATTTCTTTTTTAGGTGAAAGCTGGTAATTCCAGCAAAATCCTGGCACAAATGTCCCTAAACTCTACAACTCTGTCAGTGATGCTCAACAATTTGACAACAGGGGCTTCTTATAATGCCAGAATTGTTGCTTACACCAGGATGGGAGCTGGTCCTTATTCATCACCGGTAAAATAATAGAAAAGATTATTTATTGGCCTAGAATAACTATTTATATCCCTTTTCCTACCAAGTCTCTCTTGTAGAAAAATAGACTTATAAACTTACATAATTTTCTATTACCTTTGGATAACTATTTATATCCCTTACTCTGCCAGGTCTTTCTGATAGAAAAATAGACTTATGACTAGGGTTTATACAAAAAACCGGCATTTCACAAAACCGGTTTTCGAATTTTAATTTTACTAAAAAACCGGTTTTAACCGATTTTCGAATTTTACATAAAAAATAAATTTTTGCTCGAATATTCTGTAATTTATCCGCAAATTTAGTGTAATTTAGAGCAGAATTTGACTAAATTTATTTATTGTTCAATTTTATGGATAGTAAACAAAATTATTTTGATTTTGATTAGTAGAACTAAAAAATAATAGTTTACCTTGAAAATAATTATTCGTTATTCATGCATCATTTTCACATATAAGAATGAAAATATTTTTATGATAGTGAAAGGAAAGTTTTCGAATAAATAAAAATATTACATTTTTAAATAAAAAGCATTCATTAAATTAATATTAGATACATGTTGTTACATACTTGTTAATATCAATTTTAGTTTTAAAAACAATTAAGCTAAACTCGGGTATTGCCTGTTCCAAGCAATTTTAATTAATTAATTTCAAACATTCTAATTGTTTTTTTTTTTGTTTATTAAAATATGATTTCAAAAAACTGAGAACATCTATCGAATTGCTACTTAGACGTGTCCTTTGTTTACTCACAAAATTTCCTGAAATAGAAAATACTCTCGTACTTGCGACCAAATTATGCCTAATTATTTTTAAAGCTTGATATAATAATTAAAGTTGTTTGTTCTTTTATTTGTGGCTTCTAGGGTTTAAAACTCTTTTTCTTTAAGTTTGAGTAGAGGAAGTTACTTCTTCAAAGAGAAGTCACATTGATTTAAATTAATAGATACACTGGTATAAAAATGTAAATTAATATATAAAAAACCTTTCTGGGAACCATTGCAGACTGATAGGATATCAAATGCTATGGAAACGATATGATTTCAAGAATCAAAACGCCTTCATCTATTTTTTATATTTGGCTATATTTGCCATTTACCATTTATACAGTGAAAACCGACTTTTTTTCACTAAAAAACCGGTTTTCAAATTCAATAATTTTTGACAAAAAACCGGTTTTTAAAACCGGTTTTTGAAAAGCGACAAACCCTACTTATGGCCTTACAACATTTCTTATTAGCTCAGGATAACTATTTATATCCATGTCTCTGCCAGGTCTCTCTGGTAGAAAAATAGACTTATGACCTTACAAGATTTTTTATTTAATTTTGTATTTATATTTATTTATGTTACTTAAGATTATTTTAAAGCTTATTAATTCAAAAAAGTGTGCACTAGCTATTTGTTTTTGCACTTTGTTTATTATTTGTCTTATAACTTTTAAACGCATTGTCCAATTTAAATACAATTCTTGACAAATTTGTTCGAAATTAAATTGTATATAATGTTTTCTAACATCATAAGTCTCTACAGCAACTCGGTGTACTTTAAAATAGCAATTGATAACGGAAAATCTATGTAACAAGCTCTGAAAGTGCATTCGAGACAAGAAAAACCTTGGCTAGTTTGTGCACTTATTTATTGCAACTTTTGTAACTTTTGAATGGTTTGTCTGATTTAAATGAAATATTTGACAAATTTGTTCAAAATTGAATTATCTTTAATAGTTTCTAATATCATAAGTCTCTAAAGCAACTCGGTGTACTTTAAAATAGCAATCAAAAACAGACAATCTATATGCTAGCTCTGAACGTGCATTTGAGACAAGAGAAACCTTGGCTGGTTTGTGCATTTGTTTATTGCAACTCTTGTAACTTTTGAACGGTTTGTCCAAAATTAATAAAATGTTTTGACAAATTTGTTCAAAATTACATTATCTCAAATATTTTTCAATATTATAAAGTTCTACAGCAACTCGGTGTACTTTAAAATAACAATTGAAAACAGAAAATCTGTGTGACAAGCTCTGAAAGTGCATTCGAGACAAGAGAAACCTTGGCTGGTTTGTGCATTTATTTATCGCAACTCTTGTAACTTTTGAACGGTTTGTCCAAAATTAATAAAATATTTGACAAATTTGTTCAAAATTGAATGATCTTTAATAGTTTCTAACTTTATAAGTCCCTAAAGCAACTCGGTATACTTTAAAATAGCAATTGAAAACAGACTATCAGAAGTTATACTGCAGTTAGTATTATTACTATTTATTCATCTATTCTTTGTCAGTGCCAAGACTCGAACCAAGTATCCCTAGGGTAATATGACCTTACAACATTTTCTATTACCTCTGGATAACTATCTATATTTGTTTTTATATCAGGTTTCCCTGGTGATGGATCCTGCTCTCCTACAAGCTCATCCTAGGGCTCATCCAAGTGGGGGAAATGGGGGATCCCGTACAGGTGCCCAAAGTGTTGTCCAGGAAACCTGGTTTGTGGCAGTCATTGCAGTAATGCTACTGGCTTTCCTGTTGGCCGCAGGTGCTGCTATGATGTTATTCAGGAGACGTCAACAGTTGACCAAGGAACTGGGGCACTTGAGTGGTAAGATGATAAATGATAAGGGATCGTTCAAGTATTACGTGAGCAAATTTAGTACAATTATTTACCCCCCCCCCGACCGCCCTTTGTTAGCAAAAGTAAGCAAAGCTGTCACCAAAATGTCACCCAAAATAAGGAATCAATAACCCCCCCGCCCTCCTATAGTGCTTACGTAATACTTGAACGGTCACTAGCAACCTGAAGGGTTTTTGCAATATTTTGGTTTTTTCTAGTGCCTGTTGTCAACGCCAATGAAATTGCTGCTCTTAACATGAACGGTAAGGAGACTTTGTGGATTGACAGAGGTTGGAGACCTGCAGATACTGATAAAGATTCTGGTTTGTCTGAAACCAAGTTGTTGAATGCACCTGGACAACCGTATTCTGATAGTGCTACTGATTATGCAGAAGTCGACACTAGGAATATGTCGACGTTCTACAACTGCAGAAAGGTAAATATAACATACGTTTGATGCCTTGGCTTGAGACTTTATGTATCTTTTTTCTCCTTAGCTTGGAACTTTATATATCTTTTCCCCCTTGGCTTGAAACTTTATGTATCATTTCCCGCCTTGGCTTGGAACTTTATGTATCTTTTTCCCCCTTGGCTTGGAACTTTATGTATCTTTTTTTCCCCTAGTCTCCGGAAAATCCGACGCCCTACGCAACCACAACAATAATACCATCAGTCCCGAACCGAGGAGAGAAGCACCACTTACAAACCAGTAACACAGACTCGTCTTCCTCCTGTGCCAAGCCCAATTTAGACATGTCTACGACATCAGGATCAAGTTCTCCGAAATCCTGCTTCGACCCTTCGGTTGCTGCAATGGCCAACAGCAATTTGCAGCAGTTGCATCAGCAGCAAAGTATGCAATCTGCACCTGGATTTATGCAGGGCAATAAATATCCCCCGTATATATGTCATGATGGGAAGATGGTGCAGCAGCAAGCTTTTACAAGTAAGTAGGGGATGAAATAGAGTTGATATTAGTGGGTGCATATAACTTGTTTGCTTGTGCAGCTCCTTCCAATTGGTCAGACTTTCTACCGCCGCCGCCAGATCATCCGCCCCCCACACCTTTGTTGGGCGCCCAAAGCATAGGACCATACGGAGCTCCGAGCCCGATTGTCGGCAAACGTTGCCCGCAGTTCAATTGTGGCAACACTAGAGCAGGATCACAGATGTCCAACTGTCACCACAATCACAAGTATAAAAACACACTAAAAACCAAACCAGAACTTTCTTTTATCTTATTTTACCTTATTTTATCTTATTTTTTACTTTTAGTCCTATGTCGGCGTCCCACCATTCATCAGGACATTCCTCTTGCGGTTCCTCGAGTGGGCACAGTGGCACCGGTTGCAATGGTTGCAGTAACAACGGTTGCAGCAATAATGCATGTTGCAATAATGGCTCGAATCCGGGGTACTCGCCTTGGTGTCCTGTTCAAGGCAATCAAGCAAACAATTTGGGGGTTATGTACTCGCACGAGAATGTTTACAACAGTCCTGTTGCGCCTCCTTATGTCAATAATGGTCACCACAACAGGTAAGGGTAAAGGATGCATGTGATAAGGCAAGTTGCTCTTAGTTGCAGCAAAATCTTGCAGCATTCTTTGTGTTGGTTTATTAGATATACGATGAGACTGTTATTGATGACTGATTGGATTTTTTTTTATCTTTAGGTACCAAATGCAGCCACCAAACCAGCATCCTCCGCAGTTACCAGGAACGTATCCAAACAGCCAGTTCGGCGGTTCGAACCCACATCACTCCGAGTACCAGTCTTCGTACGGAATGACTAGGCAACCAGGAAGCAACGGACATTGTATAAACTCATCCTCCAGGTCTTGTGCTTCCTACGAAGGCATATCCTGTTCAGACCAACACCAGGTTAGTTACACACCACCAACCCCTAAAAAAAGAGTGCGCGTAAGGATCACACGCGATTGAAGTAAAACTTATTTGCTACTGTAGAAAGTAGCAAATTTAAGTTGAGTAAAAATAAATACATCATATAAAAAATTTTGAATAATGTTTATTAGTAATTATGGTAACACTCGTGATGCACACATTTATTAATGTCGTCAATCATCATACACATTTATATAATGATAAATTATAAATTATATATTTATGATTACATTAAAAATATGTATAATATTTACAAACAATAATGTAATCAAAGTCGTACTTGAAATATGACATGATCGTTTTAAAGTAATTGCTGATTAATAAATTCTATAATATTCATTCACACAGTGGATTAAGTTAAACAACGCCTAAACAAATATTGTTTTTGCAAATTAACTCATCCTGTAACAATTGTGTTTGAAGAACTTCATGTAATTAAAATTAACATACATTCATTTACTGTTTGTATTTTTTTACTTTTTCGCTGACGATATAATCTCATTCCTTGAACAGCTGTAATATCCGTCTTGCCTAACAAATTGAAGCCATACTTTTATATTTGTTTTATTTATCAAGTCCTGCACATAGCTTGATCTATGAATCATTTGCTTTTTTATATGAACGTTAATGCAATGATCATCATCAATATTACGAGGTAATAAATTAACCATATTATTAATGTCAACAGGCACATTTATAATTTGGCCAAACATTCCAAATTGTCCATTTGGAATGTCCACATAGCGAAAGCTATCATTTCTTATGCAGCTCAGATTTTTCCTTAGTTTCATTATTTGTTTGCGATCATTTGCACTACAATTATTTATGGGGGACGGGATAAAATATTCTCTATTCCGATCCTGACATTTTTATTAACTCACGAATTATGCTGCTAACCCATGTCGCGCCTAAAGAAGTTTTACTTCAAAAAATGTTTAGAGACTACGAGCTAAATACAAAACTCAAGTGAAAGTCGACACATTTTTTGTTTGTGTTTGACATATGATTTGACATTTGATGTATTTTTTGTTTTGCTCGCAGACTAGATCGAATAATTGCGATAGCTGCGCTTACTAGCGTCGTAGTCTTCAACTTCACGTTGGCGTTTTCGTGTCGCGCCTAAAGAAGTTTTTACACCCATGTCGCGCCTAAAGAAGTTTACTTCAGAAATTTGCCAATCAATCATTTACCTTTTACCCTTTTTCAGATTATTGCCAACCACCACGCCAAAATGAATGGTTCGTCCTGCAACTACCAGGATTGTTCAGCTCCTGAAGATGCAAGTGATAGGCACAGTGAGGATTCCAGCAGCAGATGCTGCAGCTGCAGCGAAGGCTCTTGTCTTTATGCTGAAGCAGGCGAACCTCAACAAATCCTCAGAATCGTTCAATAGGAAAGGGCTTTCTCGGATGAGATTTGTCTGCATGCAGGAATCAAATATTGAAGAGGTTAGGATTAAGATAAAGATAAAAAATTGAAAGGTAATAAATAATGCTGATTGGCCTGCTGTGCTATTTTTAGTACACTGGAGGCTTTTTTGTGTAATTGATGCGTTCTTCCACGATTTTTTTTAATTAATTAAGAATTTTGAAATTTTGAATGATGGCGTCCATATACAGTAAAGTAATATACGTAATACTTTCTAAAAAGATTTGTACACTTTGCAATAGTTTTTAGTAAAACGGAAGACTGAGTGTAGGAATGAATATATAGAGGTTGTAAAATAGACTGGTGTTATGGCAAGGTTATGTTACGTAGCGTTTGTTATATAAAATGGTACTGAAAACTGTTAACATCATGTATGTTTTATCACTCATGTATTTTTGCGCGTCAGTAGAGTCCCCTTTTTGTCAAGTACTATTTTCTTGAAATCCTGTTTTTTGGTCTATTTTCCTTGAAAGTCCTTTTTTGGGAGTCGTTTTTTCTTGAAAATCGTTTCTTCTTGAAAGTCGTTTTTTTTGAAAGTCTTTTTTCCTGGTGTCCGAATGAATAATGAACTCTACTGACGATCAAATTTAAATTTTATGAGAGTTATTTATAAAAAAGGGACTTCTACTGACGAGCAAACGTAAAAGAAATAAAAAAGGGGACTCTACTGACGAGCAAACTTTAATATTGATCTAAAATATTGGAAAAAGGGATTCTACTGACGAGCAAACTTTAATTTTGATCTAGAATTTTGATAATGAAATAGAATTGTAAAAAAAGGGACTCTATTGACGAGCAAACTAAAATATCAATCTAGAATTACAAAAAAACGACTTTACTGACGAGCAAACTTTAATATTGATCTAGAATATTAAAAAGAAGGGACTCTACCGACGAGAAACTGTAATATCGATCTAGAATTTAAAGAAAAGGGACTCTACTGACGAGCAAACTGTCATATCAATTTAGAATATTACAGGAAGGGGTTCTACTGACGAGCAAAGTTTAATATTGATCTAGAATTTTCAAAAAAATAATTTTTATAATTGAGAATATTAAAAAATGAACTCTACTGACGAGCAACCTACAATATTAATCTAGAATTTAAAAAAAAGAAATAAGAAATAGAAAATTTACTGACGAATAAACTTTAATTTTGATGTACAATATTTAAAAAAGAAACTGAACGTATTCTATCTAAAACGCCTGACTGCACACCAACTACATAACATTTCTACAATCTTCAGTACCATTTTATATGAAAAATCTTACGTAACATTCGTCTATTTTACGACCCTTTAGTCTCATCAATATATAAATAAAATCACATCAATAACGCACAATATTTTTCAACTAAAAAAATCATTAATATTCTCCAACAATATAAATAATCCAATTTTCGACTAAAAAAGTTTTACTTTAATTTATAAGTTGAAACGAAAACTGCCTTTGATGAACTGATTAACATATCTTTAATAACCGACGACGAATAACCCATATCTTAATTTATATTAAATATTAAATAAATATATTAAACTATTATTTAATAAACTAATCATTAATTAATAAGCGTAGACGTTTTTCATGTAAATAACCTGTTTTCTTTCCTACTGCATTGTTAGATGTCGCTAGTATTAAATCGTTGTACATTGTATTTTGTACATATTGTATTTAAAGTTTATTGTTGTCCCAGAATTTAATGGAAGATTATTTAATATTTAAATAAGATAATATTAAGATAAGCGTAAGATTTTGTATTTATGGTGACTATTATTAAACGTGTAGTATTATTAAATGACTGTGGATAACGCAAGAGTTCGTTAAACGATTTAGATTGTAAGTTTAGTATATGAGATGACATGTGTCATGGAAATTGATAACTTGGCATGTGTCATAGTAAAGATAAATTGTATGTGGGTGTTGACTGTTGGTCAATTGACATTAACAAGTGTGTGTCATTGGTGTTACCTGATGTCATTTGACATCTTGACATACGTCGTTGACAAAGACATTAATGGGGCATTCATGCCTTATAACATAACGTTGTCATGGCAACGCTCAAAATATTTTAATTAATTAAATCATGTTTTAATCTAAATTTATACACTGATTAAAATTAATTAAAATTAATCTTACAGAAAATAATCTGTTTCTAAACCTGTCATTGATGTTGACATATGTCAGTTGACAGATGTATTCACATTGACATATGTCAGTTGACAGATATATTGACACTTGTCAGTTTTTCAGTATGTCATTGACATATCATTTTTGGGAATATCACTGCCATCATTCATATTGACTTTATATAATATTGTCAGTTATTGACACATGTCATAGATGTTGACATTTGTCGTAACTTTTGACATATGATACAGATATTGACATATATCTAAAATACCTTAATTTTATTATAATATTGATTAAAAGCAGATTGATGAATTACAATCGACTTTATAGATATTAATATCAGTTGCTGACATCTGTTATTACATTGACATATGTCAGAAATATTGACATATATGTCAGAGACTTTGTTATATGTCATTAACACGTCAATTTTTTGGGAATATCAACTTCACTATACATTATATTAATTAAAATCGATGTAACAATATACTTATTATTGAAAACTTGTGACACATGTCATAGATATTGACATATGTCACGTACATTGACTTATATTAAATGACTGATTTTTTTAGAATTAATAACCAAAACATATATTAAATAAATAATATTAATGCTATAAAAATATCCGTTTCTAATACCTGTGACATTGACATGTCAGTGTTATTGACATGTGTCATTGACATGAACGAATATCACATTTATTAACATTGACACGGAAAATTCTGGATATTTAATTTTAAAAAAATCAAATTACTTAATATCAATATTATAAATAATAATCTCAGTTTGTGACATCTGACAAATATATTGACATATGTCAGATGTCTACAATATAGTCAATTCATTGACACATTGATTTTTTAGAAATATCGCTACGAACATATACTAAAATTGATTTGTATCGACTTCATATAATATCAGTTGCTGACATATGTCAGAGCTATTGACATATGTCAGATCTATTGACAACAAAGACACTGACAATTGTCATTGACATCTTGATATTTATTAGAAATATCTCTACGAATAATACTGAAATTGGTGTGTATCCACTTTTTATAATTATATCAGTATTTGTCTTCTGACAGAAATATTGACATATGTCAAATATCAAGGATATTGACAATAGTTATTGACACCTTGACATTTATTAACAATAACCATACAAACACATATTAAAATTGATTTGTATCGATTGACACGTATCGTCAATATTAACAATTGTCAGGTACATTGACAGATATAATGACATATGTCACTTACGTCATTTTTTTTTAGACATGATAAATAAAATAATATTTTAATTAATTAATATTGATTTTATAGAAAATATTATACGATTCTAACAACTGTCATGGATATTGACATATATCAGAGGTATTGACACGTGTCATTGACACATAAATATTTGGGAATATTTTGATAAAAAATATTCAATATACATAATATCAATCGTATAGACAGCAATCACAATTTTTGACATCTGACAGATATATTGACATATGTCAGTTGACATATATATGTCATTGACACATAAATTTTCCGGGAATATTGTTACCAATATTTATTATAATTGTTTAATATCGATATAATTATGTTATAGATATTATGTTTTGACATTTGTTATAGATATTGACATATGCTACATATATTGACATATGTCAAAGATATTGACAATAGTCAATGACACCTTGACTGTTCATAAATAATATCTCTACAAACATATACTGAGTATTGACTTGTATCGACTTTATATAATAATATCAGTTGTTGACATGTGTCATAACTATTGACATATGTCATAACTATTGACATATGTCATAACTATTGACATATGTCATAACTATTGACATATGTCATAAAAATTGACATATGTCATAAAAATTGACATATATCACAGCTATTGAAATACCTATATATGACATATAAATATAAATCGTTATCGTAAACGTTAAATGTAAAAATCAACTTCAATCATTAATGTCGTACTAAAAATTAGTTAATTAGAGACTAAAATAATTATTATATATGTATAATGTAACCCTAGCCTAACATAGTTTAAAAGACTTTTTTAACCCCGTACATGTATATATGTAAATACTTTCCAAAAACAATTATAAACGATTAAGCAATTACGAAAGCAGATAATCATTATAACCTCTAAATGTAGAACAAATAAATCATTTATATTCTTGATGTCATTTAGAAGTGACATAAGTTTTAAGTTTATAAAAATGTGTCATTTAAAATAGGCCTAGTCATTTCTGCGCCTAAATAAAGTACTTTTAGGTACTGATTTTTTTTTGTAATGGCGCAGAAGTAAAACTTCATTATGTCGTAGGTAAAAAATTAGATTTTTTTGAGCCCTAGAGCACTTTTTTTACTACGAGGAAAACGAGAGCCCCATAATATCTATAAATTTAATATATATATGAGAATAGATGATTATATAAATATATATATATTATATGAAAAACAATAAATTATATTATCCACGTTTAGATTTAAGGTTTGTAGGTTTAAGGGTTGTTTTGTTTTAGTACCGAGGGATAAAATTTGAGGCGATATAAAAGTTTTTTTTGTACTTAGTGCCAATTTATTGTTATCGATTGTCATTTGAATCATAGACTTTATACTACATGGACTTCGTATGTTTGCCATTTTATAAGGGAACTGTAACGTCACTAAGTGAACGAGCGTTGCCGACAATCGCGGACTCTCCCGATTGATTAAATATTATTCAAATTTATTGACATTTGTTTTGATTGGTATTTTTATCGATTGACATTTGTATTAATTCGAATTTTCATTGATTGACATTTGGATTAAGTG